TTAAATATGAAAATACACACATATATACACACACACACGCACACACACTCTCGCACTCTGTGATTTGAATGACTGCTGCGATCAGCGAGAGACAGATTTAACTGACTGTTAATATCCTACACGGTAAAGTCGAGGGGAAAAAATGAATAGTGTGAAAATTAATGATGGAAATTGTGGTTCATACATTTTTCAAAGAGCTTAACAGGTGCAATCTTTTCAGAATACATGGGATAAAGTTAAATCTGTTACCATAGAGAAAACCAAATGAAGAATTTGTTATGGTTAAAATAAATTAATGGGTTTTCAAGAGATATAGGAAATATGGAGCAAAATGAAGATGCAGATGGGAGGACAGTTGGCGGGGTGAGAAAAAGGCAGAGTTCCAGGAGGCTTAGGCATGTCTCTTCATCAGAAAATATTACCCAGCATGCTTCACAGCGGCTGTCCATGTCCCCCCGACCGCCACCCATCACCGACTCTGCTGAGAGGGAACATTTAACTGTGAAATTACAGTTTGAAGTTGAAGAAAGGGGAGGAGAGGTTGTGTCAAGGCATACAAAAAAACAGTACAACAGTGATAGCCGGGAGCTTATTGTAGTCAATTGTATGTTTTCTGTAAATGTAATTCCATGTCTGTGCCCCCACACATGCAGGCTGAAATGCAGTTATATTTAGCAAACCTCCGGGAGATATTTTACATTAGAAATAAAGCACCAAGATGCGTGCTTACCATATGTTAAAATGCTTTAGAGCAGCAGCATGAAGCCTGCAGTAATGAAGTATTGCGTACAGAGATATTGATTCATTTTTTGAAAAGCCAAAGTCAAACAGTGAGCGAGAGAAAAAGAGATCAAAGATAAACAGACCTAGTGACTGGCGGCCTTGTGTGGGCGGTAGGAGAACTAGAACCCTTTGCTTGATGTTTTTGTTTAAGGGCACTTTCATGATCTCTGAGACTCGGAGGAGTTCCTCACCACAGACCCCTTTTGCACCGAAACCACTCAAACACTGGGTCATCGCACCGTTAGTGATGAAGCATAAGACATGGCTTCCGGGCTTAAGCGCCATTGTTGCCATAGTAATGACAGATCCAGAGTAGCTGAAAATCCCCTGAAAGAAGAGACTGTAAATACAATCTCATCATCTCTGCTAATGAACGTGCTCTTGTTTGTGTGGATGGATGAGTGGGAAAATCGGGTTGATTCAGGTAAATGTAGTAAAATGGATCCAATCCTTGTGTCAGTACATACAGTCTGTGGGTAATATACTTACTTCATCAAGGAGTGATCATCATCCAAGTTATTTTGTAACTACACAAGAAATCTTTGATCATTTCAAAAGCAGAAGGCTAGCGGCTATAGGCTAATGCTAATGTTATTCGTTTTGCAGTACTGGACCATTTGTACTTGTTACCTGATGATGTACTGTACTAAATAAAAAGGTTAATGGATCATTAAACGTACAAAATCCAGAGCTGAACCTCAATGTTTTTATCCATACAGACAACATGAGACATTTTCAATTTGTGAAAAATGAAAGTCATGCCTGAAATGTCTCGAGGCTGTTACATTCAACTGACACTACTGTGTGTGGAGAAATGTATTTCTTTGTGTGATGGATTGGTACTGCATGATTTGACAGTGTCATTATTGCTGACTGTTGGTGCCCTCGTTTGTTGATTCTAATTGACTTCGACTAAAACAAGACATTTAGCTTAGCTTGTTTTTCCTAGTGCTGAACTCGACAACTGCTCTGCTGTAGATGTATAACAATAGGTACCTTTTAGTACAAAATAACACCAACAACTACAAAAATATGCCCAAAAATATAATCTGCTTTATTTGGGTGTGATGTTACTGATAATAGGCCTGCATGTATTCCTCTTTTCTTTGTCTTTATTATAATTACCATATTGAACTTTTGCAGTTTTGCATTGGGTTTGGGGTTAGACAAATGTAGTGTTGTTTTTCAAGATGGGCTTGAATAAATATTAAACACAAACACACAAGTCGAGCATGCCCCTAACCAGATTAGTTCTTAATCTACATACAAACATAATTTGCCCTCAATCAACACATTTGTTGCAAAGCACAGCAGAACAAATGTCCCGCTGTATTTTTGCCCGTGTAAAAGAATATCAACTCCGAATCTTATTACCATAGCAAAGCGAATGGAGCAACACAGATAAACAAAGTTGCAATTCAGAAATGTGCAGGCGTAGAAAGGAAGCACAAACACGGAGTTAGTGAGACATGAGCTGTCAGATCATGTCTGGAGAAAGTATTCTGCTGACCTGAGTTCAGAATGCTGGAAGCAGGTGAAGCCAGGATGTAACCCTGGAGATTTTTTTCTGATCTCGATGTTCTCGTGGGTCAGACGGAGCCTTGTTAAATCCTTTGTACAGAAAGTACGAAAAGTAGCACAATAACAGGCACACTGCCAAAGCCTGGAGCACATTTTGACATGCAAACATATTTGCGATAACCGTTTGTATTAATAAATGACAAACATAGACACGCCAAGCATTAGGTGCATAATAAACAATAGGTTTTCATGCCCAGTTTATAAATCCTGCTCCTACCTCCCATTTTCTGAAGACTGGTCATATCCATTCAGGATGTAACACATATTCCCCACCACTATGAAATGTCAGTGATGGTGAAAAGTCATGCGTGTACAGAGTAACAATGACGTCCTCATCTATTTCCTTTCCTCCTATTCTCCCACTTGGTTTCAACACCTTTCAGAAAGTGCGTTCGGGTTTTTATTGAATTGAGCATTTTATTTATTCATTTTTCGTTCTGTTACCTCTGTGTCGTCAATGCAAACGTCAAGCCTTGCCAAACTGAAATGGTCCACAATTAGTACAACAACATCAGATTGATGACGCAAGATGGATTATTTGCTATGGTAGTGTGATTTATAACGCTGCATCCAGATCGGAACTAAAAAAAGAGACCCTTCTAAAGTCATCTATTTGGCTGTGTTCACTGAAAAATCTAATTGCTTTGAGAGAAAGTACATTCTTTAAACAATTTCAACTGCATTGTAAAGCAGTTTCTAAATGATGTTGCTCTGTGCATTATTCTTTAGTCAGTCGAAAGATAGTTATTTTTCCATATCATTTTCACACAGCAATGCTATAAACATTTAGTTTCTAATGAAAAACAGAACATCTTGATTCGACGTGGGAATAATTAGATCAGATTTTATGGCTCTGTGTCCTTTTTTTGCTGCTTCACACTCTCCCCCTCCATGTTATCCTCTCCTACTCCTTCACCTCACCAAAATAAGTCATTAATCGCTCTGCCATCTGAGCAGTGTGTTCATTATCACCTGCCTCCTCTCCCTGTGTCACCTGGCTAAAGACGGATGTCGGGGTCATCAAGAGGAGACAGAGAAAGTCAGTCGAGCTTCCGCAGTATCGCAGCTCTTCAATCTTTATGTTGTTCAGTTCAGCAGCATCGTGTCCCTGAACTTTTCCCATTCCTCCAACTTCTTCACCGCATAATCAAACCACATCTGTCTCTCTCTGTTGACTCCCTCCCAAAAAAGAAAAGTTATACGCCAGACCTCTTGAACATTGCATCAGGGTTTTGTTGCGCTTTCATTTCAGTTTTGTCTCAGTCAAGTTTTGTCTCACACATGGGGATGGAGACTTGGCATGCACATAAACACACATGCTCACAATAATCATCTCTGCTGCTGCTGCCGCTGTCTGCTGCAGGTGCGGTAGAGACTCTCGGGAGAGGATAATGTATTTCCATATCAAAAAAAGCCGGGAACGCGTGCGAGATCTTTTTGTTTGTGTGAGCCCAGGTGCAGTCTAAATTAGTACCTCTGAATATAAAGTCTGCATTTTTTTAAGGAATTTCCTTTTGATGTTACAGGTCATCATTCAAAGACTAAAGAGGAGGAGATGGAGAGCAAAAAGTGTGTGTGTGAAAAAGAGAGATTGGGAGAATTAAAGACATCAGGAGAGTGAGTAAGATTAAAAAAAGACCAAGTAAAAATAGTTTAAATATTCATGTTTTTCATTGGTTGATTTATTCATAAGTGGCTGATATATTCAGTTATTTATAAACTGCTTCTGTGTCACTGCTGTTGACAGATGAGTTGCTCTGTGTTCCTGTAGGAAGTACACAATGTTAAATGTAACCCAACTTTTCCTCAAATAATGACACAGTAAAGGTTAGCTGTGACTGAATACATTTCCGGAAAGCTTCTAATGTATGGGAAGTTAAGCTGGGGAATTTTGGAAATATTCGATGCAAAATTAAACAAAAAAAACATGACATTTCAACAGATATTTTTTTAAAACATTTTCTTTTTTAAGTAGAACAGAACAAGTTTTAATTATTTTATTGAACAATTATTTGCTTCATTGAAGAACGAAAACAGGAATGTTGAGTTAAATGTTACTCATCCCCCCCAACCCCACTCATTCAAAAATGAACAAAAATGCACACCCCATCCAAAAATCCCCACAAAGTCCCATTCAAAATGTTAAATGAAAAGAGCCCTTCTCCCTCCTAAAAGTCCTATTAAACATGCACATCTTCCTTCAAGCAATCCTCTGCATTTTGGCTAAACCCTTTCAGTCAACGGGCTCTTCCTGGGCCTCATCAGCATCCAACTCTGAGTCTTCCTCTTCAGTGTCACTGTCCAGCCTTGTCGTAGTGTGCTATGGCATGGATATTCAAGTGTACTTGAATGGCATCTGTTTGTAGTCAAGATTATGCTAAAATATACTTTCCCCAACTATGTTTAAGTTCCCTATGAAGAGCCAACCTTCAATTTTGTTTATTCCCATAAATTCCTATTTATTCCCGTTTATTCCCGTTAATTCCCGTGGAAAATGTCCATCTTTGAAAATTCCCGGAATTTTGCAACCCTATAAGAGACAAAAGCTAATGTCTTAATGTGTGTGTCACAGCTTCCTCAGCGGCTGCTGTGCTACACGCTCTCTATTCTCATCCATGTTTCTCTCCTGACTCCAGATTTTGACCCCAGTCTCGGGCTGATGACTGGCATTACCCCGATAAATCCCATGATGCCCGGCCTGGCTCTCCCGCCCCTATCCCAGGATGCACCAGTTGTCAAGGAGATCATCCACTGCAATAGCTGCACGCTGTTTCCTCCCAACCACAGTAAGTCTCCTCTGCTGCTGTAACACATATAAGCATCGCAGAAACGCTGCGAGCTGACCCGTCATCGGCGAGCCCGAAGCATATTTTATTTATCCATGCAGCAGTGTGCATTATCTATGACTTATCTCTGTCCTCACACTCGCACTCTGAAAAGACCCCTATGCACCACTCAGCCTGATATTGTGTGACCACGAAGAGGTGTGTATTCTTTCTTAATGTCACCTTTAATACCCCTACGTACGGCAGAGCGGAGCTGATTTGCATCCCATTTCATCAGAAAGGAGGAGAGGGGGGTGATTAAAGGAGGTATTAAGGTGTGTATGCATGCAGGCGTTCACTTGTGTGATGTCTGTGAATGTATAATTAGAGGAGTGACCTCTGTGAACACAGAACACAGCGCTCCTGTCTTCAATGTGCCAGGCCAGAGAGGTAATGTCCTCCTCTTAGCTCCACTCACCCTTATCGCTGTATCTCTTCCTAATCTCACTTCAGCTGCTCGCTATACTGTACCACACACATATATACCCCCCCCCTTTTTATTTACCTTCCCTCTCTATGATATACTGCGTCTCCTTTCCTTCCACTCCTTGTTTAAGAGGTCAAATCAACTTAATTAACTGCTCACCTCCGAGGCTTCCAGCTACTACTTCCAGTTCAAAAGATCTCTGTCAGGCTCTGACTGTTACATATGTATTTCTACTAACCAAGCGGGAACCAAGGTTCGTGGACCATTCTTTCTAATGCCGTGCAGGAGGCGTCGCAAAAAATAAGTTTAATTGTATTAAAGTCTATGAGAAATTACCTCACTGGATGATGAAGCTGGGTAAGCTTCAGGAGGTGGATACCTTGTGATGAGAGGTCACTACCACAGCTTTTCTCGGTTTAGTTTTTTCTGTGTTTTCCTTCTAGAAATTAAACCACTTTCCATTTAAAGAAAGTTTGTTTTAACATTTTGGTAACCTTAAAATAGTATGGTTGTTCTTAGCTTCACCCAAAATGCCAGAAACGTCCACAAACCAATGGGTGATGTCCGCAGTGCCAACGTCAACTTTTTTGAAACATTTATGGTCCAAATACAACCTCTCTTTAACACACACAGGCCTGGACAAACAAAGTATTTGTGAATCAGGATCTGAAACAAATGGGGCCCTCTGTAACCTAATCCTTGAACTGTCACACAATGGGGTTTGAAAATGATTATGAAAGGGGAAAAGAACCCTGCTCTCATAATTTAATTGCTAAATTGTCGTTATTATTTAAAGCTACTTTGGGCCGTTGTAGGTGATTCATGGTAATTGGTCTAATCTTTCCTCTCGGTTCTGAAGGAATAAAAGGAGACATTTTCTTATAATTGCAAGAAAGCTGTTTTCCTGAACCAGGAGAGCAGCATGTGTCGTTATACGAAATGACAGGTCAGGAAAAGTTAAACAGGCAGAATCATATAAAACTGAGCAATAGAGGAGTGCAAAGTGGACTGAACACCATGCCTGGTTCTGGGATGACTCCCTCCGGGGCCGTAGCCTCTGTTACACGAGTCCACCCCCTAATAGCCTTCAATAAACCCACTGGAATTCATACCAATATGCAGCGCAAATGTATTATTACAAATTACAATACATTTTTCAAGAAAGCAACTAAATAGGATAAGGTGATATGCCCATGTATGCAGTGTAATGCTTTCTCTATAGCATTTATCCTCTGGATATTTCCCCTTTAATATCTCTATATGGGGCCATTCTGGGTAATGTTGCAAAGATCTTATCAGGACTGCCTAATGAGAAAATGGGGTTTATTGTACTTTGCATCAATGGGAGTGAACTCCCTTGATTCATCCGGTGTCTGACTTACACCCCCATCTGGTTTCTATCATTTATATGTGAATTTAAAGCTTTTATAATCAAATGCATTTTCTGTCTAAACTTGGATAAAACCATTAAATATTTTTCAAGCCATTGTGCAAAATCATGTTTGTGTACATGACAGTACAAAGACCATGTATGTAGAGAAAGACAGTGGGAGCAAACAGGACTGTAATACTGGAGGGCACTAGTTGTGTGGGTGTTGAGTTTTAATATTAACAATCTTTAACCATAATATTCTTCATCTTGAAATACTATATCATCATACAGATAAAGATCAATGATTGTTTAAATTACATCCTGACTTATTACGTATTGTAATAATATTTAGTTCTTAATTTCAGTGCTATTTTTAGATTTGTTTTTAAATCCACCTGAGTCAATAAATCAGAATTCAACTAAACTAAATGCCTTTACAATTAATCTCCCTTTATTATATCAAGATATATTAACATTGTGGAACAAAGAGCAAAAAGAGACTACTAAAAAATAAAACGTTTACTTCTCACTCGCATCCTGTTAATAATTCAACATGATCCATTGTGTGCACTCCCTGTGGGAGGAACTGTCGACCTTCCTTTGGAGAAAACGTTGTGGGGGCTTTTGCAAGGCTGCCTCACATATCACATGGGAAGACATCCTTTTCAACCTACACTGTTAGTGAGAGCTCCCCTTTACAACCAGCATGGGAGTCTGCCTTTGATACCAAGTGTCTTTGAGTTCAGTTTTCACCCCTAGTATAAAGCATCACTGTCACAGTTCACTGCAGACAGAAAAAGGTATCCAAACAATAAATTAACAATGGAGTATTTACCACCCACCTTTTGGCTAATTCACGCTAATGATCACAGATGAACACATGGGTGAAAAATAGCATTCTGCTCCTGAGGCTGAAATCAGGTGTCAGACTTGAATCTTCTCCACGATAGAAGACATCATAGTATCAGCCGTCATAAGCACCTTCCCAGTGTGAGCACCTTTTCAGGGTTGTTTTTCTTCCCTTTTTGTCTTCATGCAGGATCAGAATCAAAGTTAGACTTGGCCTCAGAGCCCTGTTACTAAAATGTAGTTATTTTTCAATTCAAGCCTTTACTTGAACCCTCTGAGTCTTTGTATTGTGTATGTGACAAAAGATTTAAATATAAACAGCAAAGAAGCTAAAGAAAGATATTTTTTTAAAGGGCCACACACAGGGATTCATATTGCATGCAGCTCAGTCGGTACAGATGGCACATACACCGTGGAGGTTAAGGACATCTTCTCCTACGGGTCTTTCACACACAAAGCTTAAGCACTCTACTTCTTGTAGAGCACTTTGGATAAAAGCATTCACCCAATGGTTTGTTCAGATATAATGTGGGCCGCGCATTAAACTGCCTGAAAGAAAATCTCTCTATTTAACTCTTCCCTCCACCTTTTCTACAATCTTCACACATCTTTGAAACTTTTTCCTGCCAGTTTCATTTTCACTTACCTTTTCTCTCATACAATCTGTCTCCCTCTGTTCATTTCCTTCCCTTTTTGTCACCTGGCAAGACACACGCCATAGACGAGAGTGTTTTTAAAAAGTAAGTGTTGAGAGGAAGCCAATTTACTCCTAACATGAAAGGGTAGCACTTTGTTTCCCCTTTTTAAAAGGTGCCACTGACGCCTTTTACAAATTTTAAAGTGCCATCTAAATAACAGCATCTCAGAGTGGGATTTAACGCGCCAATGTATTCTAACAGATGGGAAGACGTTCATCCAGATCCAAGCGGAGCCATTGAGGAGATTTCTTGGCTCACTGGTAGGTTTCTACTGTAATTGAAGCCTGTGGGGTTCTTCTGGGGGGGTCACAGCGTGATGAAGCTCCACCACAGGGCACAACGCAGGGGGTCACAATAGATGGTTGACATGCGTCTTTCTCTACATTTATTTAGAAAGTACCATAGGGTGTTTGCATATGATGTGTGTGAGGGGGGTACAACAACTTGGGTAAAAAATGGAAAACGTGGACAGAAATGCTTCTTTCAACTAGAGGATGATTGTGAGTCAGTGCTCTATTTCCTGAGGTATCTGGTATGTGTTCAGCAGGCGATAGCACTGAGTGTTTTTGTGTGTGATGGGCATAGAGGGCAGCAGGTTGCATATGGCCGCTATCACAGGAAGCAGAGCCCCCAGCTACTCCACCTCCGACACTGCACGCAGCTCCCCCCTCATTGACCTTTAACTGAAGATGCCTGAAGCTCAGCCTCTCTCCATCTATCATGCTTAAACATATCTGCATTCAACCACACTTTTTCACTTGCATATCATGACAGGTTTTGTTTTTGAAGCTCTCAATACCTTTTTTATTTTACATCTATTTTTAAAAGGCCAATGCAGTTAATTAAACGGCAGATCCTACTATGAATATTTCTAAAAACGCTTATTTTCATAAGCAATTAAACTGTAAAATATTTAAGTATCATCAAACTATTTCCTCATTCACAATTTAAAAGCACATATATTATTATGATCTAAAAATATCTGGAATTTCATTTAAGAGATAACAATTAATTCCTTATTATTTTTGTCATTTTTCTACCATTGTTTGACTTTTTTTATTACTCAATATGTATGATTGGTTTGCATTAAGGCACAAAAGTTAATATCTTAACGGTGACAACTGTTTGTAAATCATAATAATAATAGTGTCAACTATAACCATAGTTATAGTTTTTCTCCTAACACAGAAAACCTTAAACTTTGATATATCTTTCCCACACACACACACACACACACACACACACACACACACACACACACACACACACACACACACACACACCCATTTTTGTCCCTGGTCTGTTAATACTTAAGACCTACATTTCATTCTCTGCTTCGGGGAATTACTTTGTTCGTGTCTTTAATGGTCATCATTTCCTCCAGCTCTGCTACTTTTTCATCGATGTCAGGCTTGTCTTCCTGTAATTACCCTCAAGTAAAAGACCAAAGATGCCCTTCAGAACCCTCCTGTCTACGTGCCTACATTTCTCAAACGTCCCCAATATGGATTTCAACCTCTTTCAAAGCCAAACATTTGGTAATGCAGTCACATCTCCAATGTGTCTGGGAAATGTTCTTTTTTTAAAGGCAGGCTTTTATGAAGCAAGGATGTCAGCTAAATGTCAGATTGTTGCTTTGTTGTCCTCCTCGCTCATCAGCCGAACCCTGTCATAAATTGTAATTTAATGCTGAATCATGCAATGAAGCGTGGCAGATTTTTAGCTGACTGCAAAGTAAAGGCAGGGAAACTATCACCCTGGTGCTGTCCTAGCATTGGTGTGTGTGTGTGTGTGTGTGTGTGTGTGTGTGTGTGTGTGTGTGTGTGTGTGTGTGTGTGTGTGTGTGTGTGTGTGTGTGTGTGTGTGTGTTTTCTGGCTTTGAGTATGCGAGTGAGAGTTAGTATGTGCATGTTCCAATTTAATGCCATCATCATCGCCAAGGTCAGGGGACGAAGGCATTTGGGCCATGTGCCAGAGCAAGCTGTGACATGAGGAGGACGAAGCCATAAAGTACATTTGATGTGTTTTACCATAACTTTGCTACAGGCTCTCCAGCACTAAAGCTACAGCACTGGATAATGACTCCTCTTGGGCCTATCATTTAAAATGTCATGTCCAACCTTTGGAGTACTGAGAGAAAAACTCACTATATTTTTATAATTTAGGAAATGATTGATGGAAAGTCGCATGAGTTGGGCCACGGCTTTATAGCCATGGGAAAGTGGTTTCAGCCTCTCAAAGTGGACATGAATGAGTCCTACATTTCTGCTCTGCTTGAGATACTTTTCACATAACTGCTGGATCCAATTTGTTCGGTGAGTCAGCAAACGTCACTGTACTTTTATGTCTGCCGCTGTTAAAATGTGATTTTCTGTGTTATAAACAAACTGTGTGTTAAGACATATGGGTACAACTTATGGAACATTTACAATACAAGAACACGTCAAGCAGTTGCTTTCACAGCTGTAGCTCAGTGCACTTAACATGAAACACTTGAATTGTTAACATCAGCTGTGTAAGCCTTGTATTCAGCTTTACTGTACATGATTTAATTTATTTTCATTTCCAACATATTTAAAGCTTACATTTAATCAATATATGTGGTAAATGTTTCTGACTGAGACTTGCCTGCTTATTAGGTTCGTCAGGCTTAGACTAAGGCACTCTTTTAAAACAACCCTGAACAAAGATTGTATCAGGAGGTTATATTGTATAATAATGATTACATTTAGTCAGACAGATGTTGATGTAACTTGCACTTACATGCACTCGCTGTCTAATTGCAATGACTTGAGTTATGCATCAAACCATATTTTATAGGGTTGATAACAGTCCTAACATTAAATCCCAAATGTCTGTGTTTCCCTTGTGTCGACTAAACCAGTCACTCATATCATCCATGGCAAACCTCATCTTTCTGCGATTACATCGGTAAACATTTATCTTTATTCAGTCAGAGAGGTCCTTCATGGTTCAAACCATCGATACAAAAGGATCAACCCTCTCTCAGAGGCCAGAGGGATTTCATTTCTATGCTAGGTAAAGCATGACATGATTATCTCTGTAATATAAAAATGATTCAGGCATTTTGTTCCATGGTATTGCTTGTTGTTCCACCTTTGCATCATGGTTTGGTCAATCCTTCCCCTACTGTTTATTCCATCATTACCCTGTAAGGAGAGGGGCTTCTTACTTCACTGAACATCAGTAGTGAGCAAGGATTCTGTTGTGTTGATAATTGGCCTTTTTACTTGGGCTGCCCTGACCGGCTGAAAGTGGTCGGCCTCCACCCTACTGCAATTAACACAGCTAATTTATGGAGGGATATAGACAGGTGTTCATGTGAAGTTAGACATTAGGGACTTAGCGCTGGGCAGGTTGCAGGTGATTAGAGATCATCAGAGGGCCTGCCCACTAGCTAAATTAATATGACCAACCAGGGAAATCATCACAGTGTAGACTATCAGACTGATAGCCAGGTTAACAACATTGAGACTGTCTCCTTCCCCTGCCATATTACTCACAAATTCTCGATACCTAAACATCGGACTCACACAAATCTCAAAGCACATGTTAAAGCCTTTCAAAACTAAATATCTAAGGTAATCACAGTTGTATCTCGACGCTAACCATGCACAGGTCACAAAAATGTTCCACTGATAATATAACTATTATCCTCTTTTTGGGCCCTCTGGTTTTTCTCTTTATATTTAACCTCTTCAAAAAATACCCAGTTACGGAATTCATTTCCACTGCTATGATGACAATGAGAGTGAGCTATCTTCCTTTAGAGGCAGATGATCATTCCCAAATTATACATTAAGAGGCTTTTTGTATGTGCTCTAAAAAACTCAATGCCATGCACTTTCCTGCTCAGCCAAATTCAGCCCTTTTTCAGCCAACATAGTTACATTTCAGTATTTTCCATCCATGGCCCTAAGTTCCCTAACTCCCCTAACTCATGTTTTTGTTTCATTGGATTACTGTAATGTTGTTGTTGCCGGGCCTGCCGTGTGCTGTACCATTATTCTTCAGATTGTTAAAAAAACTCGATTTCATTGCAATATCAATAAAACTTGACTTTATTACTGTAAGCCAATTTGACCTTCCCTTCATTGGCTCCCTGTTCATGCCAGATCTGCTTAAGGGTGCTTTTGAAGAACTCTAAAGAAAAGTGTGTGGCCCAGGTCTTATATGTTTAGCAATACCTGGAAGATTCTTGACATATTCTTGGATCTGTATTTTTCTAATATGTTACCAATCTATCTATAATATTGTTATCATGACTAACATGTGTTGCATATCTTGCCACACATGGTGAGATGTCTCCCACCTCTGTTGCTCTTGGTTTCTAACTTGTTTACCTCTTATCGAGGGTCAGAAGGACAGAGGGTGTAGGGGAGGGGTGCCCAAACTTTTTCAGCTTGGGAGCTACTTTTAAAATGACCAAGCCCAAATGATCTATATACAGGGCCACGCGGGGGGGGGGGGGGGGACTAAACGGCGGATAAACTGTGGCGCGCTTACAATAATTGCGCCGCATAACAGTGCGCCGCATTTGCGCTTCAGATGAGGAGGTGAGGCCCCCTCATAACTGCATGAACCCGTATGGCACAATAAAACTCAGACTGGCTTACCTGTACGTCAATCAAGTGGGAAATGCCATAGTAAGCATGGATGATAGGCTAACTTTTTTTTTTTTTTTTTTTAGTTTTTTTTAATGCCATACGATCTACCCACACTACCTTTGCGATCGTCCAGTCGATCGCGATCCCTGGTGTAGAGACAGTGAACTAATTTGAGGCAAATGTGTGATATACTGTAGGGCTATGCAGATAAATGGAACAATTTAACTTAGCCAGGAAACAATTTTCTCAGAGCATATTCCTATGGCTCAAAACATGTCAAGTTAAGGTGCATACACACTTTTTGCCTAATGAACCTTACAAATGTCAAGAAGATGAAATATCACCATCCAGTTATTCTATGTGTAATGTGGCTTAAATATAGAGTAATTTAAAAGCACTCGGTTTGATGTATTTAATGGCCATTTAATGTAATGAGACATAATCATAATTACCTCTGCTGTTCCAGCCTCATACTAGCACTTTATTTATATATTCAAAGGCTTTTTTCAGTCCTGAATTCAGCTTTTGCAGATTTTTTTATGGAACAACAAAAGACAAACGCGTGCTTGTTAAAACATTGAAGCAATTAGAATGTATGTTTGAGTGTGAGCAATGAAAGCAGTTTGAATAAATGGTGTGCTATATGAACAGTTAAAGTTTGGAAAGTTTGAATAGTTGTTTTTAATTTTTTCGCAGGCTGTTTTTATTGTTGGAAATCCAAACTACAAAAGTGTCACAACCTATAGCAGATATTTGAATGCTGATTGTGGACCTCATAATCAATACAGGTGAAAGACAGACAGAAATATACCAAAAGAAAATAATTGACTTCATGGGAACAATTCAAAGCCATAACTTTCCTTTCCAATTTTAAGTCTAGCTTACTGCTCAAAAACCTTGACATATTCTGACATCTTTCATGACTCAAACCGGTCTAAAACGTGATGCTGTAGCCAATTATTGAGGGTCAATCAACCGCATGCTTTCTCTGTATTTTCAAGAGCTTAAATTCAGACTCTGCTGCTAGATCAAGGACTACATTTATAACTTCAATTGAAATAATTGTGTCTGTTTTTTTTTAATCTCCATGTTTGACCGACCTTCTGCCTCCGGCCACGAGGGAACGCCCTCCTGGGTGTAAGACGGTGTTTGTTGGCGGTCTGCCCGAGAACTTCACTGAGCAGCTCATCGTGGAGGTCTTTGGACAGTGTGGGGATATTGCTGCAATCAGAAAGAGCAAGAAAAACTTCTGCCATATTCGATTTGCTGAGGAGTTCACTGTGGACAAGGCTCTTCTCCTCTCTGGTGAGATATATGTACTCTAAAAACGATGGTAACTCTTTTACCCAGGTTTCCAAATGCTCAAACTCAATTATACTGTCATGTGTGGGATCATGTCTTTTTATTAGAGAAAGAACATTTTGTGTCCAATGACAGTTTGTTGTTTTTTTGCCATATCGTCTCTGTGGTGCAATGGAAACCCCAACAAACTTCCAACCTTGTTTCTAGGTATGTATTAGTTTACATTGGGCTGAAAGGTCAGAGGATAACAGCTTTCTTTCTTAGCCACCTGGACAATATTGAATCTGTAGAGACCGCTTGTATTGTCAGTCCACTGCTATCAGTGCCCCGGGCGCTCCTTCACCTGAGGTGGAGGAAGAATGATGAGCTGTTAACCTTTACTCTGATGGAAATGAAAGGGCTGATATCTATCATTCAGCACTACGATTCTCCAGCCTCACCCATTCACTCGGGACCGTCTGACAGATGGATACATAGATGGAGGGGTGGAAGGACAGATAGATGGAAAGTTTGCTGCACTCCATACAAATTGTTTGGGAGTGAACAACAATGGATATGTAGTTGAAGAAAAAAAAGAGTCATGTGTGTCTGGAAACCAACATGAGACAGAATGACTAGACTCAGTCATGATTTTTTTATATTATGTATGTATTTAATTTCTACATCTCCAGCTATATATTTACTTTGTTGTATTTTCTGCATTGTTGGTAAATTGGTAAAATGACATTACGGTACTTTTATTATTAATAATAAGCATACAGCTTTTCTTTAAGGTTACATCATTTTATGGTCTTAATACATTTTCTTTTGTACTTGGGAGATCAATTCTCTGCAAACAGACTAAATTATCCTCAATTTGACGAACACCTTTATCGAAAATGTATAATATTCTCTATCGTATAGGGATTAATTAGTGAACAGATTTACAGTTGCAATACTTTTACAGACATAGGTTATCAGACAAGCTCATGATTTAAATATATTCCACAACAGTACCTGCATTTATTTCTCCATGAAAATATCTTGAAAAACTCCCACACCATTCGAGAAAAACATTGTAGCCTATAAACATAGCTGAAAACCCAAAATGCAAGTATCTAAACGAAAATGAGCTTAACATGCTCCTTTGAACCTTGCGATTCAGAGCGAAGTTGCGATAAACACATACATGAACTCAAGTCACATTCAGGTAACCTCTATTTCACCTTTGCCTTTTACAAAATAGCTGAATACTGCCTTGAAACCGCTGTGTTTACATTGGTTCATTTTCTGTGATGGAGAGAAGCGTTTGCAATGAGCAGAAGGTTCAGATGAGACGGCTTTGCTTGAAGTGTGTTACAGAGAACAAAACAACTACTACTGTATACAATCTCCAAAAGCTTCGGAAACGTGTATTAAACGTGTATATAAACGTAGTATTTACCAGGCCTTTATTTAATTTGCAGCCCTCTTCTTTTTCCAAATGTTTTTACACAGTACGTTTAAAAGTTGAAATCAACAGAGTATTTTTGCTCAAGTTTCATGGATGCATCATCACCTCCAGAGATTTCTATAACTTTTCAAATGGTCAAGCAGGCAGTCATGATTACAGAAATGAAGATGGTTTGTCAGTCAGTGAAACCCTAATGTCAATATATAATTTTTTCTTTTTTTGATCGAGCTCTATGTCACCCAACTCAAATGGTCACACTCTTTAATCCTGTTTTTCAGGATCACACCACCATTTTTGTATAATTTGGAAATCCTTCTGCCAATGGTATGCTTCTTTAACTGCTCCTTGAGAGGAAGGGTATGCTCTCTTTAGTCATGTGACACCAGATGTCCTTTTTTTAATTTTATCTCAGTCCTGCAGCATCTTCTGCCCAGACCCCTTAAATCTCTCCATGTAAAATGCAGGCCATATATTCCCTCCTCACAAAGCTAATTTAAAAGACCAGCCACTGCAATAATACCCTCTGAATTATTTATTGTGTGAGTGTGATTCCATCTACCTCTTCCCTACAGAACGACTGGCACTATAAGTCCATCTATTAGCCAGATGACAGAACTGTGTAGCTTTCTCATAAACACTACTTTCTCAAACACACATACACTTGACGCACTGAGGTCTCCCTTTATTAAATATTAAGGCAAGCCGAGAGCAGAAGAACAGACTGGAAATCAACCCGAAACTCACTCGGGTATCTTCTGCTCACACCCAAAACCAACTTTATCTCCACTTTCCTCCGATGAGAGTATGTTGATGTTTTTGGAGTGGAAAGTCTGGCCCAGGGCTTTCTGAGCTTGTTTCCTAGTTTGAGAGTTCACACTGTAAACACCCCGGCCTCTTACAGATCACTACACCAATCAATTAACAAAACCAGTGTGACTGCTCTTCACACCCACACACAGGCAGGGAAATGAGCTCTGAGTGTCAAGTGGAAGGCAGTGGGGTGATGAAGGGCTACCAATGTAATCTGTGTCTGTACATAAAGAATAAAAAGCTTTAGAGACTCAAGGGCTCAGCTTTGGTCTGTTTATGTATCGGCCTCTACACCTGGAGAGTAGCTGCCCGTGAAAACAAAGAGGACGGATGTAGATTTCTATCTGAAGGCGAATGAGGACGAGTTGATCAATGTAACCTTGTTTGTGTGTAACCTTTTATCTTCGTATCTGTGTATATCTGCCTCTGTGTGCTTATTACTTTGTCTGTGCTTATCTCTGTCTCTTAACTGTACATCTGAATCAAAATAGGTGTTGATGGAAATTGATATTTCACCCTGTTACCGCTCTCATCCCATCGATTAAATGTCTCAGCTGTCTTTCATGTCCTCTGTTCAATCTCTATTCTCTACACTCGGTCTAATCCCCAGATTTCACCTTTTTTGATTTATTTGTCTCATACAAACCTCTCCTTCTTCTCCCCAGGTTACCGTATCCGTTTGGGCTCCAGCACAGACAAAAAAGACTCGGGCCGCCTCCACGTGGACTTCGCCCAGGCCAGAGACGACCTGTACGAGTGGGAGTGTCACCAGCGCATGTTGGCCAGAGAGGAGAGGCACCGGCGCAAAATAGAGGACGATCTCTTCCGACCCCCCTCCCCTCCTCCCATCGCCCACTACTCTGAGCACGAGTGTAGTGAGCTTGGAGACAGGATCAAAGGTTGGTAGAGAAACATGCAGACTGAGTGTATGAAGAGCATGCAATCAAGGTGGCAAAGTAAAAAGAAACTTGGAGAAGTTGGCTTTAAAGATTTAAAGTGAATGCAAAAATGTGCAAATTGTAATTAGCCATGCTACTGGCGTTTCTTTACAGACATGTCAGTCAGTTGATCACCCACTTAAGTTTAGCCTAACACATTTATACACAACAACTATCAAATGCAGAGCTCTCTCTTTCACTCCATTCACACGCTCACACGCCACACCTTGTATTTCTCACGCAGAGATTTTCTCACGCAGAGATTTCTTTCCAGGTTACCGCCCACCAAGTTGCGCCGCAATTTTGTAAACAAACTAGGCTTGTTTGAGACGCATGCACTCCACTAGCACCCCCACCCCCCACCCCCCCGTTGACATTCACGATACAGAGGGCTTCATGGGAACTTTGAGGGGAGCCAGAAGTTGCAGTACCAAACACCGCTGCCAAAATCTCACTCTGAACTCTGTTCAAAATTTGAGAGCCCTGCAAATGGATTTCCATACAACTTGGAACACACACTCTTTTATACAGTCAATGGTAAAATGCTGCTGTGCCTACGAAAAATTCTCTTTTGAACTAGGGTGGCAATAAGCTGTCTACACAGAAAGTGTTTTTGCTGCGTCATCTATCTCACACAGAACTGACAGAACAGCTACACTTCAATGTGAAATAGTCCAACCGTCTAAACACCAACTGTCTATTTTCTCCTTTTTACGCACGTAACCGCAGTGATTGTGATTTACACTCCTTCCCTGAACACAGGCTGTGTCGAGAGGAAACGTAGGGCTGCTGCTCCGCTAATATGCTGCTTTCACTACGTCTCCAGTATAAAGACGGTTTTAGTCCAAATTTCGGACTGCCATATAGTTCACTTGGTAGAGCTGGCGGTCCATATTCTGGGGCTTGGTCCCCATGTGGAGGGAGCGGTTTGAATCCAGCCTTGGCGGCATGTGTCTTCTCTTCTGTCTTTCCATTTCAACGTTGGTTGAGTATAGTTCCATATTTAAAGAGGTATAGGCAGAGGGTTTGCGGAAGGGGCTTATGGGATGTGAGAATATTGTTGAGCCATTTAGATTCCTCATGTAATCAAACATTTTATGGAAGAAGAGACTCCTCGTTGATCCGCAGTGACGTTCCTGTCCTTAACCTCTCCTCTTTGCTGTAACATTAAAGCTAGTAAAGCTTGGCCTGAAAAATCTCTAGAGATCCACTTGATCTGGAGTGTTGCTAATTTGTTTGTAGATAGATGTGATGCCTTTTTATTCAAATACTCCGCTAATCGACCACTTAACAACCACCATTCCCGTCTATATTTCAGAGAAAAGGTCAATTATTTCTGAACTTCACTTACATTTTTTTAAGTGCTTGGACCAACTTTTATTTCATTGTTATATTCACACTAACTTGTAATGTGTTTGAATAAAGAAATAAACGTATGGCTAAACAAAATTAATTGAGATAAGTCAGTTGAGTCATTTTTGCTTAAAATGCAACACAATTTCTGGGATGTATCAAAATCTTTCTCTTAAAGCTGTTCACAGAACTGCAGAAAAATATTATCTCATTGTCTGGAATTATTGTGATGTTCTGCATCGTTGTCTGCAAGTTTGGTCACACTCCCATCTGTTTCTTGTCCTAATAGCTCTGATTAATGAATAAAACAGTAAACATAGAGAAAGAAAGAGGCGACTTTAATGTATATTTTTCTGACAAACCTATGTATTCTATCTAATATATTTAAAGTTGTGTTATTTATGTTTCATGTAATGCCTCAGCCAATGCAATGAAAATCTGAATCGCCATAGGTGATCAGATACAACTAATGATCCTCCAGATTGTCTATTAATAATGCAGCTGCAGGGATCCATGTATTATGAGGCCGTGCCTTTAAACAAACAGGAACACTTAGGGATTCACAAGATAACACCTTGATTCAATATCTGCTGCTGTGATACATCATCATTCATGCAAGCCATCTGACGGACGTGTGTGTGTGGGTGTGTGTGTGCGACTGTGTGTTTTGGACGCACAGCATCTGCAGAACCTGCTTTAGATGAATATAAACCTTCCCAAGCTGCTAGATATGTAAAGAAGCTAAGTAATGTTTGTGTGTGTGTATGATGCGTTTGCCCCACTCTTTGTTCTGTGTGTGTGTGTGTGTGTGTGTGTGTGTGTGTGTGTGTGTGTGTGTGTGTGTGTGTGTGTGTGTGTGTGTGTGTGTGTGTGTGTGTGTGTGTGTGTGTGTGTGTGTGTGTGTGTGTGTGTGTATGTATGTAGTGTGTGTGTGTGTGTGTGTGTGTGTGTGTGTGTGTGTGTGTGTGTGTGTGTGTGTGTGTGTGTGTGTGTGTGTGTGTGTGTGTGTGTGTGTGTGTTGGAGATTTGAGGTCTATGTATGGAAGCATTTCCCCTCCTCTGCTCCTCTGCCTTGCAAGCAGCCCAGTGAGACAGCAGAGGACAACCACTGCTGAATAACAACAATTATTAGAATCAATGACGTCTTCTGGCATTATCTTATTATTCACCAGACAAAGCAGAAGTACTTCTGAAGGCAAGGCAAGTTTATTTATATAGCACCTTTCAACACAAGGCAATTCAAGGTGCTTTACAAAAATGAAAGACATTCAGACAAAGGCATTTAAAAACAGTCATTAAAAAGAAAAGATAATAAAAGAAACATTAAAAGAAAAAATACATTAATAATAAAAAGTACATGAATAAAAAGTTACAGTGCAGTTTAAGATATGAATAGTTCACACAGAAGTTCCACTTTACCGATGCCTTTCTTTAAGGTTTCTCCGAACATGAGCTGTGTACGCTTGTATGGCACATACGTCCTGAGCAGCATACACAGAGAAGACCAGCCAGGACAAAGTCCCCCGACACTGATTCCCTGGGGTTACTAGCCCCAAATGTTCATTAACCAAAAACACAACCGCTCAGTTTCAATTAAAAGCAGCGGCAAAAAGATACGTCTTCAGCCTGGATTTAAAAGTAGTAAGAGTTGCAGTGGACCTGCAGGTTTCTGGGAGTTTGTTCCAGATATTTGGAGGATAATAATAACTGAACGCTGCTTTACCATGTTTAGTTCTGACTCTGGGGACAGAAAGCTGACCCGTCCCTGAAGACCTGAGAGATCTGGATGGTTCATAATTTAGCAGGAGATCAGAAATGTATTTTTATTTAACCTCCACTTGTTTTATGTTCAGCATAAACAAACAAATACGTTTTCTTCTGAATTATTTATTCTATCTGTTATTTTCCTTGCGAAATAACTGCAAGTTCTTGAAGTTATTTTCATCTCAACATCTCCATGTCCTCATTCTTTCTGCTAAAATAATCCTGTACGACCTATACACAATGCAGAATACAACTCCAATAGATGTTGCTAAAACAGCTTGTACAAAATAAACAAATATGAATTTAATAGATTTTCCGCAGTTGAGTTGTTTTTTGCTACTTGTCTTGTTTTGTGAAACTCTCGCATAACTTTCAGTTGATGTTAAACTTGTTGCTTCCTGCATGATCCAGCATTTGTTCCAGAGTAATTTTGCAGGATCAGCATTTATTTGCTCCTGATGGCCCTAACTCTTTCATTCTGTCCCTTTTTTGCCTGATATAACTTAAGTTGGCAGGGGCCGTTCTGTTATTCTACTTCTGTGGTATCGATTTTGGCCACCTTTCCTTCTCTTCTCTTACCCACCTATTCACCTGCTACTTCTCTTCTGTCTTTGTCAAATGACTGTGAGTTTTTGAAGATGGCCCTTCTTTAACCTGTGTTCTGTAGAGTCCTTTCTAAATTACTTCTTCCAAGAAGTCAGCACATTTACTCAGGGAAATGTCCTTTTTATCTGTTACTGCTCATATTGACCCAGACCTTTCTTCCTCAGAGGATGGCAAGTTTCCTGAAGCAGTGCGTGTGCTGTTGACCTGGCTGGAGAGAGGGGAAGTCAACCGAAGGAATGCCAACAACTTCTACTCCATGATCCAGGCGTCCAACGGCCACATCCGCCGGCTGACGGGCGAGAAGAGTCAGCATGAGAAGGAGGTGGAAGAAGCCAAAGACAAGTTCAAGACTGCGATGGTCACCATTCTTGGTCAATGTGAGTCTTCTTTGCTCAGTCAAAGTGTGTGTTTCTCTCAATCACACACTCTGTAAAGTATTTATTCTATTTCACCACCCCCGGGGAGTAGCCCACCATCCTACAGGATTTACCATTCAGTTATTGCTCCACACCGGTAACAGGTGAAATCGACCATGCTACACTGCAGTAATTCCCATGACACTTTGCTGTCTGCCGTTTTATCACAGGTCACCGCTCTGTACACGGCATATCAGATGCTCAAATACCCAGAGAGAAATACCATGACATAATAAATACGCTCTAACTCACACATTTCGACAGATACATTTACCAACAAATCATCTCTCTTTATCTATCTCTTTCACACACACACACACACTCACACACACAGAGCGAGGAATACTTTACAATGATGATATTACTTTTTTAAGGACACAATTTGTTGTTCCAGGTCAAACTGAACTTGATAAGACTCAGTAAGAGACAAATAAACTTGAGGCAGATTATATCCTTCTGAAAACAGATAAAGAATGAATTTGTTTTTATAATGACATTTTTTTAATTATAGCACACAACTTTGAAAATGACTTGAGCCACACTTTCAGTACTACTTATTTCACTACAGCTATTATTTTATCATACATTTCCTAAATAAAAGCTTACATAAAGTAGCCCGGCTCTAGACTTTGAAACCTGACTTAACATATGTGTTGTATTTATTGATTTATTTAAATCTGGTGGTATGGTGACTGACAGCCGTTTTTCTTTGAAGGCAGGATTGATAGATAGCAACAGTGACATATGGACACGATGTTGATAAGAGCTGTAGTCAACCTACAGAAATATTTTGTACTCTTAATTTGACATATTTATTTGATCATTGAAACAATGAAGCAAACTCCAGCAGCTTCTGTGTCAATTGATAAGGATGTAGTTGGAACAGATACAACCCTTGCTACTAATTGGTTATGGTAGAAGAAAATACCTCTTCTCTCTGAATAAATGAAATTAAACTAAATGGAAATGCAGTCTGATAGTCAGGCTATTGGCTAATGATGCTGAATGATGCCACATGAGACCGATAGTGCTTAGTTAAAAATAATTAGCAGTTAACATTCATTAGTCAGGGATTTATTAGACTTAACATAATAATGTGAGGTTACTAACAACAGATTCTGATTCGAAGTAACAGCCTCAGTGTTAAAGATGCAATAATTACACTTCACCAGCACCTTAATTAAATTGTACAACATAGTAACCTAGTAAACAATAAGGCAGGTGCAGAGGTGTGATTAAAAGTTACATTTTAGGCCATCTTCTGATTTCCATTTACCTATAACAACATAATGGCCCGATATTGAAGTAAAAAATAAGCCTTTTTTAATAAACAATGTAAATAAAGTACTGTATTCAGAGTATAATGTGTGAAGGAATCCCTGGGGATAGCTCTACCATTTATCTCTTGCATTCGTTCAGGTTGTTTATCTTGATATAACACCGCCCTTCCGTACACTCAACACAATGTTCTCTTTTTTCCCTTTTATCTGATGCATTGTAATATATTCAACATGTGTTCCATGACAAAAGGCACAATAAAGTGTGAATAGGGAGTTAAATGGCATGAAACAACAATAGTGAGGATCTGTCATCTGAGATGCTTGATGCATAATGATAAGCTTGCTTGTGTTGATACGTCCTACACTGTAGGACGTATCAACACAAGCAAGCTTATCATTATACCCTTTCTAAACCTGTAGGACCTACAGGTTTAGAAAGGGTAGATTGAAGGGTGTTACAACCTCGTAGGACTTTCTCTTTATTTGCCTCTCTCTCATTGTATGTCTCTATTCCTCTTTGTCAGTCACCCTCACCCTCTTTCTTCAGGTGTTTCTCTCATTAAAGGCCTTCCACATCCAACAAAATAATCCATACAAACACTTATTTCTATTCATGAGTTTGTTTTTCGCCCGGCGTCCACCCATGCAAATGCCAACACTGAGATTGAACCCCCATGAGGCAGTTTCCAAAGCACACCTGTGAACAAAAGAAACATCCATATTTACAAGGCCCTGCTTTTGTCACAGTGCCAACCAAGGACACAGTATTATAGGCACTCTCACGTCTGTCACCTTGAAGATAATTACCTTTATTGTCCCTCTTCTCTTTTCTTTTTTTAAGTGGTCAATTTATTCAGCGTCGTAGCAATAATACATGTTATCCATCCATTCAGATTTAGGATCCTCTACCAACATATGACGTAGCAGTGATGCAAACAGTGACAGAAATTAGTAGAAATGTGTAAAATTACAGTATTCATTCATACTTTGCATAGGGATATTTCAGATACTTTGAGCACATGTTGCTTTTACTATAAATGTAACATACTGTATGGACCACCTACGCCACACAAATAATGTTAACAGGTGGACTGAGTTGGATTCCACCATTACTTAGCTAGCTGACAAAATGTCCTGCCCCAAAATCACAACAAACGAGTATTATCCATCAAAGCACTTTTATATATATTGGCACCACTATTAGGCTGTCCCGTCTGCCACTACTTCTTAGGCATCCTTCCATTTGATCAAGCGCTGACTTCCCATTTCACACCTGTTTCAGCTAACTGGTCAGGGAATACAAGACCTTGTGGCTGTGTCCCTGTTATAAGGGAAAATGAAAAACCTGACAGGAGTATTGCTGCTACCACAGGCTGTGTCGTGGCCCTCAGCACGCTCAGTGTCTGACATGTCTTGCTAGGCTTGACTGCCCGTCTATCAAAAAAATAGGGAAGGTCTCCTGGGTGCTTTGCTCTCACCAGAGGGATTGTTTCTCCACTCAATGCTCCCAGAGAGGAGGAGGAAAAATCCCAGTCAAAGCTTCCTCTTCTTCTGTTCCACACTACCTACTGCATTGGAAGGAAAGGATGCTCTATGTTTGGATGTGGCCCCTATGCCCCATAATGTCTACAGCCAAGGCATATCCCACCATTAGGGTTGGACACTAAAACTAGAACATGTTGGAAATCAGTTGGGTAGATAATTTTTCTGCCATGTTGGAAAAAAGATTCTAGATTTTAGTTGATCTAAATAATTTAGCTCCATAGCAGGGCCAGGTATAACAAATCCTGCCAATAACAAATGAATAAATACATACTTACATCTAACATGTAGGTGGAACACCAACATATCTAATTTCTTCGCATGGAAAGACATATTGAACAAACATGAACGTACACAGCATGAAACCCCTATTCATACCCTGCATTCCCCATTGACGAAAGGAACTAAATTCCTCTAGGGAGTTATTATTAATGCCAACACCTAAAATCAGGTTTATTGCCAAGTAAGTTAACACATACAGGGAATTTACTTTGATATACAGTTGCAAGAAAAAGTATGTGAACCTTTTGGAACTTCCTGGATTTCTGCATAAATTGGTCATAAAATGTGTTCTGATCTTCATCTAAGTCACAACAATAGACAAACACAGTCTGCTTAAGCTAAAACCACAAAAACAATTATATGTTTTTATTGAACACACCATGTAAACATTCACAGTGCAGGGTGGAAAAAGTATGTGAACCCTTGGATTTAATAAGTGGTTGACCCTCCTTTGGCAGCAATAACCTCAACCAAACGTTTCCTATAGTTGCATATCAGACCTGCACAACGGTCAGGAGGAATTTTGGACCATTCCTCTTTACAAAACTGTTTCAGTTCAGCAATATTCTTGGGATGTCTGGTGTGAATCGCTCTCTTGAGGTCATGCCACAGCATCTCAATTGGGTTGAGGTCAGGACTCTGACTGGGCCACTCCAGAAGGCGTATTTTATTCTGTTGAAGCCATTCTGTTGTTGATTTTCTTCTGGGCTTTGGTCGTTGTCCTGTTGCATCACCCATCTTCTGTTGAGCTTCAATTGGTGGACAGATGGCCTTAAGTTCTCCAGCAAAATGTCTTGATAAACTTGAGAATTCATTTTTCGGTCGATGATGGCAATCTGTCCAGGCCCTGAGGCAGCAAAGCAGCCCCAAACCATGATGCTCCCTCCACCATACTTCACAGTTGGGATGAGGTTTTGATGTTGGTGTGCTGTGCCTTTTTTTCTCCACACATAGCGTTGTGTGTTCCTTCCAAACAACTCAACTTTGGTTTCATCTGTCCACAGAATATTTTGCCAGTAGTGCTGTGGAACATCCAGGTGCTCTTTTGCAAACTTCAAACGTGCAGCAATGTTTTTTCTGGAGAGCAGTGGCTTCCTCCATTTTATGACCAACTTATGCAGAAATCCAGGTAATTCCAAAGGGTTCACATACTTTTTCTTGCAACTGTATAATGGAGCAAACATAAACAAGAAAGAGAAATTAAGAGGTAATGTACACCCACCCACACAGACATACAAAAACACTTGTATACATATGTTCCCAAGGCTTAACTATAGTTTTCCAATATAAAAGCTTATATATACAGTATATACTGCCATAACATAAATAAATGGTAATATCAATACACCATGATCTAGCCCTGAGCTGATGCAGTCTTAACACTGAACATATCAATAGTAGGCAGTATGGAGTATGTGATGGTGGCAAGATACATTGAGCTCTACAGCAAGCTTGTTGTTTTTATGATGTTATTGCATTGAGTGATGGAGGGAATCCATTCAGATGAAATGCTGAGTTCACTGTCTTGAGCTGTAGTCTAACAAGATATCCTCCAAGTGCCTGGATGGTCTCTCCAGAGGAGGAAGGAAAGCTGCTAGTCAGCAAAACAACATTGATAGAGTTTATCTTGGCATCTTATGAATGCTGAAGTATTTATGATTCTAAATTAAGCCTGCTGGCTTGGACAGCCATCACATAAGACATTTGCCACAGGTGAGTAGATTAAAAATGGATTAAACATTGACTGAACATCAGTTAGATGCTGAATATCTACAAAGAGAAAAATGTTTATTTTATTTTCTCTTTTAGCTTTGGTGGTTAGGTTTTAAAGGAATCTTATGCTAAAACCCTATGTAGAATAAAATAAAATAAAGAAATAAATAAAATAATTTGCATAATTATATTTGATCTATGAAAAGTGTCGTTCTAACATCATTAATAAAGGAGCTGGCTGTAAACATTCCACCATGCACATTCCTTAGTAAACCAGGCTTCAAATATGAAAAAGCCTTAGATATGTCATATGCTGCATATTGTTGTCTTAAATGTCTAGGCTCTTGTTTTATCATCTTATACATTTTCCCGATCTGAGCTGCTTTTTCTCATTTCATCAAACGATGTGGGTCGTTTGTTGCCTTATTGTATATGACAAACAAAACTCTAAAATGCACATTTGCTTCTGTGAGTGTTGTTACATAAAGAGACGACTGAGATTTCTCAAAGCTCCCAACTGCAATATGCTGTAATTTAACATTTGGCTCGTAAACATTTTGCACATTATGTCCTATATCCCAAATGACTCTCAAAATTAGAACCAGATTTTCACTAAACCATATTGTTTTTTTTTAGTCAACCTACCATCTGCTTTTGCCAGAAACATTGTGAGCTTTCATGGAATTTGCAGTCAAAGAACAACATCTTATTTCAATTTGTGGCTCTCTTAACACAATAGAACTGAAAATGTAGAATGAAAATGCAGTTTAGGGGCCAGAATATGCTGTAAATGTTTTTATAAATGGATGTCACACTGTACAATATCTAAAAATGAATGTGAAAATGACTTCATTAGGCTCCACTTAGCATTTAAAACTATAAATCGCACAATATGGTTTATTATCTTTTCCATTATCTTCCAATAAAACAGATTCAATTTCAAGGACAGTAGTCACATTTAGCTCCTAGCATTTTTCCTTAGCAACTAGAGATCTCTCATTGGACCTACTATTAGAACCAATTTCACAAGATAATAAACATTTCTGTGTCTTTAATAATTGTACCATTTTAAGATAATATATTGTCTCGAGAAGACAGAGTATTAATTGGTTTGCACGCTCCAGGTGAGGAGAATGTGAAAGTCAGTAGGTGGTACGGTTTATAGACAACACGTTAAAACATTTTTCCTTCACATCTACTTGCATTAAAACCTCACTCCTCCATGAATTATAAATGAATGTTGAACTTTGAAGAACAAAATAATGACACAAAGTTTCTTCACAGTCAAGAGTTGTTGATCCTACGCATCTGTCAAGGCGACTTCTGTCGAGGCGAGTTCTTTCAATGCGAGAACTTTGCTGTATACATATTATCAAAAGCGCACGCACCACAACTGATCAAGACAAGATGAGAATACGATCCGAAGAGTTTACCTTAGCTGCTCTTTTTATGATGGATTTAAATAAGTTTACAACAAGTTGTAATGGGTCTCCCTGTGTCATGCTATGTGTCTATATATTTATGTGTGGAACTTACCACCCAAAATGTATCCATATTTGAGACAGGTCAGACACATATATATACAAGAGACACACAGCTCGTTTCCCCGCGGCTTAATTAATTATTTAACACATTTCTTTCTTTCTTTCTCATTCTTCCCCTTCCCTACTTCTACTCATTTGTTCTGCCTCACCAAAGTTGAACAGATTGTGTCTGTATTCCACGCTGCATCCAAACAAAAGGCATGGGACCATTTCTCCAAAGCGCAACGGAAGAACCTGGATTTATGGCGCACCCAGGTGGAGGTTGGTACTTTAATGTTTAAGGATGTTTTAGCGTTGCAACAGCAAGAATGTACAGTATGTAGCTTTTGGTAATTTTGGTGTTAAGGGTCTGCTTTGCGGTGATAAGATCAATACATCTTGTTTTTGAACCTTTTGCAGTAGAGAAAAACAAAGATACATTTTTGTAATAATAGCAAAGGGGCCTAACATGGAACCCTGAGGAACTCCCAAGCAAGGAGGTTGATTCTACCAATTCTACTAAATTGCCTGGTTTAGCGTGAAAACGTTTAATCCCACTAAAAAGTTGGATCAACCTTCACTACAAATATACATATAATTTCATCTACTAAAATCTGCTTTTAATTAGGTGTAAAAACATATATTTTTTAATTCGGTTCAAAATTAAATATATTTTTTTGGGTGAAAACATGTTATACTTACACCTTTTGGGGGTTGAGTAACACAAAGATAAATTCTGCATTTTATCTCTCCAAAGTGTATTTTTGTAATACCAGAGTAATGAAAAAATAAGCACAAGCGGGCCTTAAATTCAACCATGAGGAACTCCCAAGAGCTCTAATTTATTTGAAAATTGTTTGGCTTAGAGTGTATAAGGTTAACCCAGCTAAAAATATAGATACAAATTAATTTACAAAAATTTATTGTTCAATAAGGTATAACATACTCATTGTTTTTCCTGCCATGCATATATTAACTACTAGAAAGAAGTATAGGTTTAAAAAAAAAGTTAAGGTCAAATTATGCACAATTGACTGAGGAAAATATTATGAATGATGTAATTAAATCACATTGCAGGCAGAATCAATACAACAACAACAACGTTGATTGATAACACATGTCATGACACATCCTTAAACAGATTTCATGTAAATACCAGGTATTAATTGGTTGTAAAGTTCCTACATTATTGATTAGTTATTGGTCTTTGAGCAGATGATATGCTGCCTGTTTTCATATATTGACAGAGAGAAAAAGAGAATGCACTTTGCACTTTGTGTTGTGGCTTGAAATTGAGGTTATCCATCTCATAATTCAAAGTCAACTTTATTGTCAATCTTTCAGTTTGTTTGTACAGACGGAGAGACCGAAATATCGTTTCCTACAATCCCGAATCCCCATAAAACAAATATATATAAAAAATAGTTTATTGTGTACCCTTATAATATACCACACCTATCAAAAAAGGACACATTTGGTATACATTGCTCACAATTAAGTAGGGACCCTCAAGAAAAATTGCGATTCTGCGATCGCAGGAATTTTTACCGGCATAATCAGCAAAATGGCACAGATTTTAAAAAGGCACGGCAATATTTATCAAAAGGGCCGCATAATCCCCGCATTTTTTCCACAACAAAGTTTGAGAAAAAAAAAAAGTTAACTCGTCTTGACGNTGTGTGTGTGTTTTTGTTTGCATTGAAACAGGTACAACAATTTCACGAGACCAGATTCCTGTGCACGTATATTTTCAGTTTTCTTTTACAGTTGTTTTAACATTAAAACAACTGTAAAAGAAAACTGAAAATATACGTGCACAGGAATCTGGTCTCGTGAAATTGTTGTACCTGTTTCAATGCAAACAAAAACACACACACACACACACACACACACACACACACACACACACACACACACACACACACACTTATATCTTATATATCAAACACTCTGCAGATGTCTTCCCTGGTAACACGCAGAACAATACTGTTAATATTTTATAGCTCCCCTACTCCCCACCACTTTGATCTGTTTCTTAGAGCACAATAAAACCAGTCGGGGTCAATTAATTATAGCTGTCTTGTGTAAGACCTACAATTCATCTTTATATATAGAGCCTGGCCCCTCATGAGCTTGAAAAATGAAACACAAGCGATAGAAGCAGCCAGAGCATGGATACACTGATTTTCATTGAAGCTGTCCCAGAAAAAAACAAGCCTCCATGTAAACCTGTAATAGTGGTTTTGTTGCAATATGTTTTCAAGATTACTGACAGCGTTTGAATGTATTATGGAGTGCATGTAGCACCCCAGTCACTAGACTCCTACAAAACAGGGATTTCATTTGCAGGTTAAACAGTTGTGATGCATGAGACAGACGGAGCATATCTGCTCAAAAAAATTTCAAATTCAAAACATCAACAAGTAGACAAATGTTTAAACAAAACCAAATCATGCCTGTATGAAATTATCGGATCTGTGTTGAACAAAAAATCCGCCAGGTAGAAAAGAGGCACAGTTTTCTACATCTAAAAGATCTTGTCAGTGTGTTTTCTTAACCTGACAAGAATACATTATCCAATTTCTGCTTCTGGTGCCATTTGACTATGAACATCATTTAAAAAGTTCACAGTGCATCTGTGTTTTTGGAGTGTTGTGTGTGTGTGTGTGTGTGTGTGTGTGTGTGTGTGTGTGTGTGTGTGTGTGTGTGTGTGTGTGTGTGTGTGTGTGTGTGATAATGGAGACAGGGAGAGAAAGCCTGAGTTCTTTAGCATCAATATAAATCCCTTCCAGCTCTGCACTTCAAACTATCAGCAGTGCATTATGAGGTTTCAGATGGACACGATTGATTGATCCTTTCTTCTTTTACCTTTGAGCGCCAACTGCCAGCAAATGTGTCTTCATCCCCAACAATTAATCTAATCAGCTTTAATAAAAGCATCCATTACCGGAGCAGCGGCATCGACAGAGAGGGGCAGAATGTTTACAGATGAATAATCAAACACGGGAAAATACTGATTGGTATGCTGATCCAAACAACCTCTAAAGCCGCCACATTACTGACCGTGTTTTCTGCCAGAGAGGTGCCTCTTATCGGTTTTCTGTCAATCAAAGTGGATGTCTCATGTAGAGCAGTGAATTTCATCTCAATCATCCACAGCCAGTCAATGGTACGCAAAGGCCCTCATAAGTAGGATGAAAACAATTTGATCTCACAGTGTGCAGACGTACAAATATACATTGTTAAAAGGCAATGGTGATTCAGTTTCTACCACGAACCTCCCAGCAGAATCCACGTACACTTATTAGCAGACGAGGAAGATAACAGACACTGCTTTGTAAGAATAAAATTGCCATGGCTCCCAGGGTTTATTTTAGCTTTTTCGTCACCAGCTTAGATAAAGCAAAACACAACTTCAGGCAACCTGAACACTGGGGAACCGGTTATGCTATATTCAGTCTCTGTTTTGATTTTGGTGAGTTATACAGTAGCATCTCACTCAGTTTATTCTAATACCTTCAGGAAATCAGCGGGAACAATAAGTCTGGAGATACCACCTACGACTGCCTTAAATTGTGAATATGGATATGCCACAGACAAAAAGTATTTTTTGTTTAAACACACCGTAAATAAGGAACACTTTAAAAGAGATATTCAGGAAGCTGTAAGCAGCTGTGATTTGGGACTTTGTTCAGGTTATTTGACGGTTCAATTTCCATATTTCTCACTGCTAGAAATCCTTCCTCTTGTTTTCCATGATACCTGCGGCCCAGCTTGAGTAACTCTCTGCTGTGACATCACAACCTCTTCAACCTTCTATAAACAGCAGAAATACAACAGACAGTTGGACAGTGATGCAGCAAATGGGATAACATGCTATGCAGAGATCTGGTAGGATTTAAATTGAGAATTTCTGGGGCCACAGGAACCTCGAGATTAAGAAGTAGACTTGTGACTGAAAGCCACGTCTTTGAATTTGTAGGTCTACGGGGAATAATGTGGGAGGAGAGACCAAATGACAAACACTCTCACATCCCCTTGAATACCATCACTTATGTTGTGATCAAGGATATTTATTTGTTGCTGCAATGGAGCTGATCCAGGCCCATAAGTGGAAGACTTGGCTGTTCAGTGTGAAAATAGGAAACTAGGCAAACTTTAAAAAAATAATTAAAGTTAGATAATTAAGGCGCTAATCTTCTGCTTCTCTTTTACTTGAATGCTAGACAGATTTGATTGTTTCTGTTAATCCAATGGAGTTTCTGATGGATTTGACATGGCCAAAAAGTTGACTTAATTGGATTGTGTTTTTGTGTTTGGGCCCTTTGTTAGCTGTGTGGCAAAGGTTTATTAGGATTTGGATTACAAGTTCCTAACAAGTAAGACGGCCCAATGAAATAGCAGCTAAAGCATTTCAAAGATATTAGTAATACGAAAGGGGGGCGAACGTGAGGGAGTTACGGGAGGTGCCTATCTAATGCAATCTAATAGCAGATTGAGTAATTTAGATATTTCCATAACGCAGGCATTATATTCTGCACCCCAGTCCATCATGTTTGTCCTTGTTCTGCCTTCCAGAGAGAGATACCTTCACTGTCTGTGTCACAGCTGACCAATAAAAGCTTTAAATACTCTCATTATTGCCGCTGAGTGCGAGTGCAGGAGAAGCAGTCAAGTAGATGTGTGCACACAGTGGAGTTTTCACAAGCTTGTACGTAATTATCGGGTCAAAGAGGTGTTTGGTAATTAAGTGGAGCAGCTCTTTGGTCCCGGAGCTGGTCAGCATCCAGTCAGAGGCATGACACCCATCAGGAACAGGAAGAGCAGGCAGGTTAGCAACGACAGCCACTTCCTGCTCCTGACTCTTGATTTCCCCTCCTGTCCTTCGGCTCCCTTCAGAGGAACTGGGATTATGAGCCGTTTCTGCCGACAAGCCATGGTAGCTCTGTCATTCTTTGGCATTGTTTGTAGTTTGTGTGTTTCCCTGAGCAACACACTATGGAAACAAATATAGGTGTCACTGGTTATACATCACTTGTATAGCATACACCTTATTGTCTCCATAGAGTCATCAATCATTGAATCAAGCACCCACAGGCACACACATATCCTTATTGTATATATGATTTAGCTGCTTTAACTTGACTGAAAGCCCTCAGGTGGGCTTCTCCCTCTACTGTCCTTCTATTTTTTCAGATATAAAGAAGATGGACAGGAAAACATTTATGTATTTATAGTCAATACAAGACTCCTTCAACTCCTCTCTCAAGAAAAGATTCCAAGCATATGGTACATCAAATAGTAATCTAATCCTACAATAAAAAACGGTTTTACTATACCTATTAAATATGTCCCAGCGAGAAGGTATTGGAAGAACAATGATAGGCACACAGGTAATTGCTTGAAAGGCCTCCGCCAGAAAAAGTAATTGGAAAAAGTCCTGTTGTGTTTTCATAATCACAGAGAAATATTAAGCAGCAAAAGACAGCAGGAAGTATGGATTATATTTGAGATTAATAAAACAGAACACACATTAAATCATGACAGTTTCACTGTATGTTTGTCATGTCTAAGAAACCTATTGTGAAAGTTTATTCTTTATGTTAGTTTTGTCATGTCCCTTTGTCCTGTGCTTTTGTTTATTCCAATAAGTAATTCTCCCTCTCATCTCCTGCGTCGTTGTTTTCCCCGCCCTGATTGTTTCCACCTGTTTCCCCTTACCCTGTGTATATATTGTGCTAGTCCCCTCCTGTCCATTGCCAGTTTGTTTCCTCATTTAGGATACACGTACAAGCCTACTCCACAGACTTATTACGTTCCTCTAAGCTCATGAGCATAGTCCTTGTTTTTCCTCGAAAGAGTGTTATTGTTTTTCCCTGTTTTGTTACTGTGACAATACCAGTAAAGTCTTCATTTTGAACACTACCTGAGTCTGAGTTGAGTCGTGCATTTGAGTTCATGCCTCAGAGTTCACCCCTTGACAATGTTCTCTAAAACTTATATGTTGCCATACAAAGTATGAAGTGATTGTCTTTCAGAAGAATTTTAGGGGCATATAAGACGGCAACTCGAAGGGATAGTATGGATGTTTTGAAGTGGGGTTTGTATTAGGTAATTACACGGTACATATATAGTGTATTAGATATAGATGGTGGTCAGCACTCCCCAGTTTGGAGAGTAAGACAGGAATACGAACACTGCAGAAACGTAATGTACTGTTGTGGATTGTGGCTGCAGTTAAATACACTTAACAACCAAAAAGAAAGGCCCACCCAAATAAAATCAATATCAATTTAAGCATACATACACATATTGTGCCACGCAATTCATCTGGCTCATCTATAATACACTGAGTCATAATATTAATCTTATTGACTTGAGGATTCGTCAGAGCGATGTGATGTGTGCTGGACAACGCATTCAATGACATTCAGCCCTCCCGCTCAGCAGTCAGTCAGTCATGAAGATAAAATGGATTTGAGCAGACAAAGATAGAGAGCCCTTATGGAAAACAACAAACAGCGGCCTGAAAGGGACAAAACAAACTTTTAAGAGGCACAATAAAGACAAAGTCAAAAGTAACAACGGCTGTCAAAAAGATCTGCCATAGACGGCTGTCATTCAAAACAATCCCTTAGAGACATGCTACAGAGAAAAAACCCTGCCTCCGGCGTGTCACTCATAATACAATTCTTCAGAGGGAAAAACAAAGGACTGACTACGCTGTTGATTCTGGGTTACGTGGGAGACATAACATAACAGTAGAACAGGTAGGGAGCATGATGAAAGCCCCACTTTCCAACACATACTGAATTGTACAATGTAAAGAAGAAACATTGGTTAAATGTACACATATTTCTTCTCTAAGGATAAGCCTCCCTCATGTTTCAGCGCTTTATCTTTTTAACATCTTCAAACCATCCTTTATAAATGAGAATGAACAAAGAGTCTTCCCAAATTGCTCAAGTGCTTTGTCTTTCTAGATTCAGATGTGTGAATACTGTGTTTATAAGATATAAGGAGCAAGTCATTAACTTGTCTCTCAGATCAATAGACGTCAATTCATGTTACAAAGGAAACTTTATTATAAATGTATTGACCTTCTGTAGACACCACCCCCCCCCCGGCGTTATAATGTCCGTCTTTTCACTGAATTGTCGTCTTGAAAAGGGTACTCACAACAATTCCGCAACAACTTCATCTTCACCTGTTGCACTTGTCATTTCAACGTTAAAAACAATAACACGGCATGAATTGCTTCTTCGCATTCATCTAGAGATCCTCTGTCTCGAGCCAGTTAACTAGCGGGCCTTCTAGAGCAGTGGTTCTCAACTGGTGGGTCGCGACCCGGACCCGTTTCGAGTGGGTCGCGGATGTGTGAGTGAAGAACAAAAATGAAAAATAAAAATAGGAATTTTTTTTTTTTTTTTTTGGAAAAAGTCAAACTTTTATTTTGAAGGCCCGATTTTCTAACGCTATGCATGCAGTCGGCGTTGGACTGGAAGTGCCGGAGACCATAAACGGTTTTGAAAACTTCTGTCACGTAGTGATCATCTTCTCAATAAAATATCTTTGCTGATGTTTTTTCGAGTCTTCTGGCCAATCAGAATCAAGATTGTTGCCGGAGGTCCCCATCGAGAATAACTTTGCGGTAGAACTCTTCTTTATACATCCATGGGTACAACTTCAGATACAAATGAACACATAATGAAATATGACCCCCGGTTTGATGATTGACAGGTCCTATTGCAAATAGGGAGCTATCTACCCTTACCCACAATTTAAAGTAAGTCACAAAGACTATCTCCTCTTTACTCTTCTCGCAGCAAGATGTCAGAACAAAGTGAAACACAAACAATGGCATAAAATATTATTAATATGTCGGGTAGTAATAGATTTATTTATTTTCTTCTCAGTGTACCAGAATGCATAGTTAGTATAGTAGTTAGTTAGTATTTTTAAAAATCTCCTGGGGGAGAATCCCCCCAGACCCCCCTGCTGGGGTTGGGTTTTCAGCATGTGTGCCTTTTTATATAGTTCAGCTTTGATTCCGGCATCTCATTAAACCTTTTTTAAAAGCATACTTTAGTTCTGTGAAGGGATATAAGGGATATATGCACTGTACTTCATTTGTATTGATATTGTATGCTAAAAAGCGTATATATTACAGCACGTTTTTTTGTAGAATAGATTTGAGTGCTTCAAAATGTTGGGTCGCGATGTATTGACAAAGTAAAAAGTGGGTCCCGATGCCTGACCAGTTGAGAACCACTGTACCCTGGAACCGAGGGAAACTCTGAAGGAACACGCCCATTGGCTACAAATCAATATATGATTGGTTGATCAAACTGTCAGTCCAAACGTACGCTCTCATTCAGTGCAACGGCCAGGGCATTCTATCAAGGATGTAGAATACCTTGTTGAAGGATATTCTACCCAGAGACCCAGAACAAGATCTGATTGGTTGCTTTCTTTTCCAACACAAAACCACTGAAATGCGTAGTGCATGGTCCGAGAAGAACAAACAAATCAACGTAACACTGTAATATTAAAGATCAACAACACAGATATGATTCTCA